TGTGGATTAACCAGCAGATTTGCCCCTGTGTGATAACGTCCATAGTGTCAGCAGCCAAGTGCTTCAGCCTTAGCAAATGGATCTGGCATAGCAATGGCCAGAAAGATGCCTGAAAGCTACTGAAATCTGGAAAACCTTCCACAGCCAGAATTTTGCTTGCCCAATACTGGAAATTAGTGGATATACCAACAAAAGATGAGTGGCTAATAAAGCTGTTTGATGCCATTGAAATAGACAGACTGATGAACTGGTTAAGTGGAAAGACATTAGAGAGATAGAATGGAATAAGGTAATAGAATATTGTAATAAAAGATGGAGCATCTAATACACCTAATAAAAATACAAAATAGAGAGTCCTTAGTCTAAGATTAGAAAATCACAGTATGTGCTGAAGTATTTGTTAGAAAATAAACAAGGATAAAGAAGTGGTGATGGGAATGTAAAGTAGCAGTTGCACGAGCCGGAAATATACAAGGCAGTTCAGGAAACCAAAGAAGATAATTTCTTATTTAAGCAAGAAAGGAGAGAAGAAGATTAGAACAATTTTCATAAAACAAATTGTATATAAAACTTCTTTAGAAAATAGGATACTTTTTGTACTATGTGTATCATTCTGTAAGCTACCATGTATAAAAAATAAAATAAAATAAAAATGAAATCTGGAAAACCTGAGATCAGACAGAGCCAGGGCAGCACTAACGCAGCCTCTGATTGTCTCAGTTTGGCAGAGACAGCCCTACTTTATCATTTGCTGCCCTGCATTCTCAGCTGGTTTTAAAATGTCCCAGCTTCTTTCTCTTCCTCCCACCATCCTCCACTTACTTCAGTTGTTGCAAATGATGTTCAAAGTACAGAAGTACGCTGCATCCAATTAACTCAGTAGGAGGAGGAAGATGGATCTTACCCTTCTTAAACTCCATACATACATTTCAGAATTTATTTAATTAAAAAAATAAATTCCTGTGTGCTTCTTCATTAATAACCCTTTTGACTTCTTGTTGCCTGGCCACACCATCAAAACACTTCCAACAGATGGACATCCACCCTCTGTTTAAAAACCTCCAAAGGAGGAGACTCCGCTCCACTCCACTATCAAACAGTTCTTACTGTTAGGAAGTTTTTCCTAATATTAAGGTGGAATCTCTTTTCCTGCAATTTGCATCCATTGTTCTGGGTCCTATTATCTGGAGCAGCAGAAAACAAG